TTGCTTCAGCTAACTTTGCTGGCAAACCACTGGCAAACTTTGCCCTCTCCTAACTCCTAAACCACAAACTTCCAAAACATCCTTTCTCTTCAAACTCTAATCTTTGCCTCCCCTTTCTGACTTAAAAGGCTCTTTTTCCCTCCAAGCCTCTCTAAACTCCGCCCCCTTTTCTAAACCAATCCTGGTCGATCTCTGCTGACTTGGGCCTAAGACACTCCCCCTCTCTAAACTCTCTCTAAGATGGTGCCTTCCCTGATCTAAAATGGCTACTGGTGCTTCGCCAGGCCCACCTAATCTGCAAACTAGCTGGCAGACTTACACTAGGCCCTGCAATCCTGGCTGCAAAAGGTAAGGGACCTTTACATCCCTCCCCACCTCGAGACGGTTTGCGGAGTGAAGAGGTTTGCAGACCTCTTCTGAAGCAAAGCCAAACAATATTCTAAGCCTAACTAACCCCCCTAACTAATCTATCTATCCTATCTATGTACACAACATCTAAATACATTTTGCAATACACACATATGCAATAAACACATTTTGCAATCAATATACACATTATACACAATAAATACATTCCTGTGGGAAAAAAACATGTTAAATACATTACAACAATGCATATAAACACTCTAACATAGTAAATACAATACCTTTTCCAATCCTAGTTTTTACCTTAACCCATGGCTCTGGACAACGTATCTGCGATGACATTTTGAGTATTTATATGAGGCCACTCTAGTATTGTCTATACTTTATCTACATCTGGCCACACATTGTCTCCCGACATTTTATGGACATACAATCTCAATACTTTTATATACATCAATCTTCTAATATCATCAAGTCTCTTAAACTTATGAACAAGTCTAAATAATTTGGAGAGATTAAAGTCTCTGTATCCAATCACAAGTTATTTCAATAATAAGAGTCTTTCTGTCTTTCATGAGGTTACAACACTGTTGTAGGAACTTTCTTCTATTCTAATAAACAGTCTATCCAAACACCTCTATATTTATACAGTGACCCTCTACATACTCTTTGCCTATTGTCAACAATCTACATAACTAACACACCTCAATATAATGTATTTACCCATCATACCTATTGTATGAAATATATACAGTTCACCATTGTAATATCACCATACATTTCACACGTCTATAATGAGATAGGTTAACCATTTTAAAAACATTACAGTACATTATACCTATCTACATTAACACTTTCAATAAGCAATGTATTATTTTGGTCTGGCCCTTATAATGAATAAGGTTGTTTTTCTTTTTCCTTCACCCAATTCCAATTCTCCTTCCCCTATTATTCAGTCTCAAATTACAACCGGCCAGTACACTTCTCACAGTACTACATTCTTTTGAAGTCTTTGACAGCATTACATAAGGTCCCTCCCAAGAAACCTCCAGTTTCTTCTTAGATCTTGGTTCTAAAACCAGGACCTTATCTCCCACATCAAAACATCTGTGTCTTGCGTGAAGATCCGCCTGTTCTTTCTGCTTCAGCTGGGCAGTTGACAAACTCTCTGCTGCACAGTCTCTCATGGTTGTCAAATGTCCCCGTAAGTCCTCGATGTAACTGTTGATATCAGTCTCTGGAATGTCCTCTGCTCCTGTCCATGCTTCCTTCAAAATGTCCATAGGTCCTCTTGGTGTTCTCCCATATAACAGTTCAAATGGGCTGAACTTGGTGCTGGCTTGTGGAACTTCCCGATAGGCAAACAAGAAGTGTTGTAGTTTCTTGTCCCAATCATTAGGGTTCTTGTGGACGTACGCCTTCAGCATGTGGTTGAGTGTACCGTTGAATCTTTCCATCAAGCCGTTGGTTTGAGGATGGTATGGAGTAGAAGTAAGATGCTTTATCTTGCAGGTCCGGAACATTTCTTGCATCAGCTGCGACATGAACGTAGCTCCAAGATCTGTAACGATAGATCTAGGAAAGCCCACGCGTGCAAATATATTGAGCAGCGCGTCTGCCACTGTTTTGGCGTCAGTTTCCTTTAATGGAATTGCCTCTGGGTATCGTGTGGCAAAGTCCACGGCAGTCAAGATGAATCTGTGCCCATCAAGTGTCTTGTGGGACATAGGGCCAATAATGTACACCCCGACCTTGTCGAAGGGAATAATGACAACTGGAATTGATTGTAACAGTCCTTTTGTCTTATCTTTGGCTTTTCCCACCATTTGACAAGTCTCACAGGTCTTACAATAGGTTGTCACATCACGTCCCATTCCTGGCCAAAAAAATCTAGCCTGGATGCGGTCTTTGGTCTTTTTAATACCCAGGTGTCCACTGAAGGTAGTATCATGGGCTAATTTGAGGATTTTAG